GGGGGGAGTCTGGACTGGGCAGAGGTGTGGCTGACACCCCGAGACCCCGCCCTCTTCTCCCCGCAGCTGAGAAGCTCACCGTGGTGGGGAAGATTTCCTTCAACCCCAAGGACGTGCTGGGCCGTGGGGCAGGCGGGACTTTTGTTTTCCGGTGAGTGGCAGCCAGGAGCCGGGCTGAAGAGGAGGCCCTCACAGCCCTTTCAGCCACTGTCCCTTGGAGAGCGATTCTTTCCAAGAATCCCCGAGGTGGGTGCAGGTGGGTAAGTCGCCCACCAGTTGCTAACCTTGTGCTTTATCCGCCCTCCGCGAACCTCTGCTCGCCCACCTCCCAGGGGCCAGTTTGAGGGGCGGGCAGTGGCTGTCAAGCGGCTCCTCCGTGAATGCTTCGGCCTGGTCCGGCGAGAGGTCCAGCTGCTGCAGGAGTCGGACAGGCACCCCAATGTGCTCCGCTACTTCTGCACTGAGCGGGGACCCCAGTTCCACTACATTGCCCTGGAGCTCTGCCGGGCCTCGCTGCAGGAGGTGAGGCTGGAGCTGGGGGGGAGGGGGTGCGGAGGGCGGGGGTGGCCGCGAGGTCTTGGCGGCAGAGTGACGCTTGGCTCCTTGCTGCTTGTCAGTACGTGGAAACCCCAGAGCTGGACCGCTGGGGCCTGGAGCCTGAGACGGTGCTGCAGCAGCTGATGTCTGGCCTGGCCCACCTGCATTCCTTACACATAGGTACGGGCCCCCACCTCGCTCCATCCCCAAGCCCCTGCCCTCCCCAGCTGGGCTCTCAGCTCTCCCCTCCACTCTCGCAGTGCACCGGGACCTGAAGCCGGGCAACGTTCTCATCGCGGGGCCCGACAGCCTGGGCCGAGGCAGGGTGGTCCTCTCAGACTTTGGCCTCTGCAAGAAGCTGCCTGCAGGCCGCCACAGCTTCAGCCTCCGCTCCGGCATCCCGGGCACGGAAGGCTGGATGGCGCCCGAACTCCTACAGCTCCGGCCCCCAGACAGCCCTGTGAGTCCTCCCGCCACCCCAGGCAGCCAGAATCCCTCCCTGGCGCATTTCCTCTCCTAACAAGGCTCCACATCACCGCTGTGCGACCTTGAGTCACTCCTCCAAGCCTGTTTCTTCATCTGTTAAGTGGGGATAATTCATCCCTTCTTACCTGGAGCAGTGGTCCTCAACCAAGGGCTATTTCACCACCCAGGGGACACTCAGCAGTGTCTGGAGACATTCTCGGTTGTCACTCTTGGCTGGGGAGAGGGGGCTTACTACTGCCATCTAGTGGGTAGAGGCCAGGGATGCTGCTAAATATCCTACAATGCACAGAACAGCCCCCAGCACAAAGAATTATCTGGCCCAAAATGTCAATAGTGCTGAGAATGAGAAACCCTGAGTTATAAAATGGTTTCAGTCTTCACTGTGCTGCAGAATCACTGAGGAACTTAAAAAAAAGTCAGCTTCCCAGGCCCCACACCCAGTGATTCTGACCTGAATAGCCTGGGGTAAGGCCCCTGGTCACTTAACACGTATCCGAGGTGGAGAACCACTGGTTTCGAGGGTTTGGGGAGCATCCGATGAGCTAATACAATTGAAGCACAGGGCAGTGTCTGACCCCCAGAGACACTTGAGTTTGGGACCCCAGGATTATAGATTTTTGAGTCATGACTGTGCGGGTGAATGTTGAAGTCATGGGCATAGATGAGAGTAACACAACAGAACAGTCACTAGGCAAAGCCACCCCCACCCCTGAAGTCGAAAGAAAGCTAGAGATGGCCACCTGGAGGCCCCAACACCAAAGGCACTGATGCTGTGAGCCTGTACAGGCTTTGTTTCTTTAATTAGTGGCCAATATTTTAACATTTGGGAAATTCCACATAAAAATCTGGATTTCTGGATTCTCTTTGAAAATCAAAGCTCTGGCACCCCAGGAGAGTCCCCTGGAGGCAACCAGCTGGAGCTAAGTGCCAGCTGCCACCTGCAGACAGGGCCTGGGCCAGACAATGGAGTTCTCAGGCCACTTGATCGTTTCATGCCTGGCTAGCTTCACTCACTTATGGTACCTGCTACACCTGGAGGAATGGCGCTTGGAAACCTCAACTAGGGCAAAGATGTTGGTTGAAAACCATGGGCCCCTTTCAACGGTACAGAGGGAGGGGATTTGGGGCCAAGGAGATCCTCTCAGCAAGGATCCTTGAGTTCTAGTCTGAACCAAATCCCCAGCTCCATATCAGCCCATAGGAGAGTTTAGCCAGGCAGACTTCCTGGAAGCAGAGGCGTCCTCCTCACGCTCATCTCTCTGGCCCCCAGACCAGCGCAGTGGACATCTTCTCTGCAGGCTGCGTGTTCTACTACGTGCTTTCCGGTGGCGGCCACCCCTTCGGAGAGAGTCTTTATCGCCAGGCAAACATCCTTGCAGGGGCTCCCTGTCTGGCTCACCTGGAGGAAGAGGCCCATGGTGAGGGGGACCTGGGCCCGGCAGAAAAGGGAAGCAGACCATGAGGCTGGGGCGGGCCTGCAGTCATCCCTCCCCGTTGCCCCTCCAGACACGGTCGTCGCCCGGGACCTGGTTGAGGCCATGCTGAGCCCGCTCCCGCAGGCACGCCCCTCTGCTCGCCAGGTGCAGGCCCACCCCTTCTTCTGGAGCCGAGCCAAGCAGCTCCAGTTCTTCCAGGTCAGGGGGAAATCTTGGGGACGGCCCCAGAAAGTCCCAAGTTTAGGTCCCAAGCACCAAGAAAGGGGAAGCCAGACTCGCTGGGGGAAAAGAGACTTGTACCTGTTCCAGGCAGCCGGGCTCCTTATCTAAACCAAGATGGAGCCTAGACTCCTACATTGCCATCTTGGCACTCCACAGTTGCTCATTACCACTTTCCTAGCCCCAGCTGCCTGTGTGTGAGAATACAGCCCCCTTTCAGCCCGTGTCATCATGCTATACCCGTGCCCAGAGAGCACATTCCACTTGTGTGACCTTGAGCAAGGGACTTTGTGCCTCTGAGCCTCAGGTTGCTCATCTGTGAAATGGGCACAAGAGTACCCACCTCTTAGGTTGGTGAAGATCTGGCGGGATAACCTGGTGGGAGGGGGCAGTGGCGCAGAGAGACTGCACTCCGTGGGAGGCAGCTGTCCTCACCATCCTAAACCAAGAAGCTTTCACGGCTTTGCTCCCCAAGCTCCAGAATGCTCCTGGCCTTGTGGCCTGACGCTGGCCACGAGGCTCAGGAGCTCTGTGGGGTCCCAGGACGTCAGCGACTGGCTGGAGAAGGAGTCTGAACAGGGGGCCCTGGTGATGGCACTGGAGGCAGGAGGCTGCGAGGTGGTCCAGGGCAACTGGCACAAGCACATCTCGGTGCCGCTGCAGACAGGTAGAGGCCAGACCGAGGGTGGGCCCGGGGGGCTGAAGGGGCCGGCAGGGACAGCTTTGCCAGTGATTTCCCTGCCCCCACCAGATCTGAGAAGGTTCCGGACGTACAAGGGGACGTCAGTGCGAGACCTGCTCCGCGCTATGAGGAACAAGGTGTGTTCTAGGGCTTGGGCGCAGCCTGGACCTTGGGCACGCCTGGCACAGCTGAGCCAGGCTCTCTGCTCTCCCCCCTCCAGAAACACCACTACAGGGAGCTCCCGGTCGAGGTGCAGCAGGCACTCGGCCACGTGCCAGACAGCTTCGTCCAGTACTTCACCAGCCGCTTCCCACGGCTGCTCCTCCACACCCACCACGCCATGAGGAGCTGCGCCTCCGAAAGCCTCTTTCTGCCCTACTATCCGACGGCCTTGGACGCCAGGGAGCCGTGCCCAGGGTCTGCTGGGAGCTGAGGCCGGCCAGACAAGCAGTTGGGCCTGTGGCTGAGCCCGGCCTCAGGGTCAGAAAAGACTAGCCGAGGCTCGGCAGCCTGGGGATACTGGAGCAAACCTGTGCCCAGAGCCCACGCCAGGCACCCCTCAGGGAATACAAGAAAAAGAAGATTCCCATGTGTTTAATGTGTATAAAGACAAGGAGAGGACAGTCCCGAATTCAACAGCGATATTCTGTACAATTCATACGGTGGGGTTGAGAAGGAAGGGGAAAAGGCCACAGAACCCACACCCGAACATGTACAAAAATAACTTACGTAGCAACCCCCACCTACAAAGATGATACAGTTTTCTCCCCAGCCCCCAGGGCTGGGGGCACTTTACAAAAACGAGCACCATGGGGGCTAACCAGTATGGACCAAGGTGCTGGGCGGGGGAGGAAGGGCACCAGTCCGGAGGGGAGGGAGGGCTACGAGGAGGCCTTGAGGCGGTTGGTGGCCGAGCGCGAGCTCAGCAGTTTGTCCACCATGGTGCGGGCGTAGCGGAGCCGGCTGGCCAGCTCCTTGGAGCAGCCGTACTCCTCCAGGAGGCTCAGGCGGTACGTGCGGAAGTCCCGCTTCTCGTCGATGTAGGTCACAGCTGCCATCAGTGGGCACAGGATGAGCTTGGTATGGTCCTATGAGGGAAGGAGGGATGGACAGACACGGTGAGCAGTGGATGGAAGATCCCAGCTGCTAGTCTATGTGGATAGAGAGAAGATGTCCCAGTTGATGGGGGGATCTCACCCCAATTCACTCCCCTCCTACTGCAAGGACAGGTCCCATGCCTCCCACTCCCCACCCCACTCCGCGGGCCCGTTGACAGGCAGATACCCCACCCCAACTCTCCCCGGCCCCGGGTCACCTGCGGCTCACCTGGAAGAAGTTGATCTGCACACAGCCATTACTGAGGTGCAGGATGATGGCGCTGCGGGTGCGAAACCAGGTCCGCAGGTAGGGTAGCCGGGCTAGCTCATCACCTTCCCGGGGCGTGATATTGGCACCCGCCTTCAGCAAGTGTTCGCTCATGTAGTTTCGGAAATACTTAAGGAGGGTGATCTGGGTGGAAAGTGAGGGAGGGAATCCGGAGTTAGAGCCTGCCGCCAGCACCTCCCTCACTCCTGGCAACACCGCGCACATGGGCCAGCCGGCACTCACCTTCTTCATCAGGGTGTTGGGATGGGAACTCACGGTGAGGTAGGACTCGGTGCCGTCACGCTCTATGTACTGCAGGCTGTCACCGTCATTGTAGAGGATGAGGCGTGTAGAGTCATTGAAGAGCACCCCCACACTGTTGTCACACAGCTGGTACCCTAGCGGTAGGCGGAGGGAGACCTCAGAAAGGGGGAATAGGGAGCAGGGAGGCACTGGGAGCTGGAACGGGGAGGCCTGGGATGGAGATAGGAAAGTGTTGAGAGAAGCCCTGGGAGCCGAAAAAGGCAAGAGCGTGTAACAACTCCAAGGGTCACTAGGCCAGGCCTGAGCAACCCACCCATTCTGGAAGAAACCTACCGAGGCCGTACTTGTCCGAATAGTCCACCCACTTGCTGACCCAGAAGATGGGGATGCAGGCGGGATCCTCAGCCTCCTCTGGGACAGAAACAGACAGACGGTTGGTCAGGACCACCCTCTTCCCCTCTGGTCCCCTCAGGCAGCCCACACCAGGAAGGCTTGCTGGGCACCCCACGTGGGCTCAGTCAAGAGGCCTGGGGCCCCAGAGAAGAGCAGAGCAGGGCCTCTGCCACCAGCAAGCTCAGACAGGCAGCAGGACAGACATCTAAGCCGAAAGTTACAGTGCAGAGCCCCAAGTGCCACTTGTTCACTCAGCTGGCCATTCATCAAAGGCCTGCTGTGTGCCAGGCCCCGTCACGGGTACCATGAGCAATGACAAAAACCCAGCCTTCTTGGAGCTTGCATTCTAGTCACAGGGACAGAGACTACTCAGAATAAATATGGACAAACACTGAAGTTACTTCTGTCACGGTGGCAGTCAGTGGCTGACCGATTACCTGGTTTTCCAGTTTTGAGTGATTAAAACATTGTGGGAAGATAGACAATTCCAATTACATCAAAATGTTATGTTCGGTGCGTGCAATAATCTCTTATTTTAAATGCAATAAACAAATGTGGAAACTTTAGAATACATTAGGTGATAAGTGTTATGAAGAATTATAACGCAGGTAAGGGGGATGAGAGGTGCTAGGAGTGGGGAGCTAGGGACACGCTCGTGGAGGGGACATTTGAAGGAGGCGAGTGTGTGAGCCATGCAGATATCTGGAGGAAGTGCATTCCAGGAGAAGGGAAGAGTATGAGCAGAAGCCCTGAGGCTGGAGCACATCTGGGGCTGTTATTTCAACCGTCACGAAGGCTGAACAGGAAATCATTGAGCAGAAGAAACAGCGTGTGCAAATGTACACAGGTAGCTTCCTGAGGTGCTGGAAGATGGGGCAGTTGTGGAGACAGAACAGATGAGTCAGAAAAGGAAGGAAGGGACCAGGCAGTGGAGGGCCTTAGACATCAGGCTAACTCATTTGGATTTTAATCTACAGGAAATGGGGGAACTAAAGGTATTACGGAGACAGGGGCCTGGACAAGCCACCAACACTCTGCTGCCGAGACTTCCCTGCCCTCTCCAGTTGTCCCAGACAATCCCTGCCAGGCCCCTGCAGTGCCCACCTTGCCTCACCAGCCCCCGCTCTGAGGGCCTGGAGGCATTGACGCTGTGTAGCTGCTGCAGCATGTCACCAAGGTGGCAGTCGACAGCCTCACTGGTCTCCCGGACCACTGGTTCCTCTTTTTCCCGGGGCCGCTCGGGCATAGGGTTCTCTACGCCTGGGAAGAAGATGAGAAACAGTCATCAACTGGTTGGGAGGGGCACAGACTCCCTGCTATAGCTGGTACTCTCCCCAGGGTAAAACTCTTAGCTGCCATTGCTTTGGGTAAACTGAGTCAGTGCCAGGTTATTAGAGCTCATGTGCTAATGACAGGCACTTGGTACTCACTGCTACCTCCAGGACCAGGCCAAGCCCTTTAGGAAGGCTTCACGGCCACACATAGCCACAGAGCTCCAGACACTCAGGCCTCTGACCCTGCAGGTCACAACCTGTCACTCAGGGAGACAGCTCAAAGGCACCAGCAGCTCCTAGCTGCCCATCTTCAAGCCAAGAATTACAAGCATCTTCAGCACCAGGAAAATGGAGGGCTCAGTAAACTGCAGATCAGCAGGACGGATTAAACAGGGATTTAACAAAAATGTAAGATTTTTTTCCATCTAAAATTTGCTTTATATACTTATATATGACCCAAAAGATTCTGAAAAGATATTTTTACATGAAATTTTAACCTCAGTTATATTTGAGTGGTAGAAGCATGGATGATGCTTATTGTCCTTATGCTTAAATGTTGACTTCTTTCCCCACCAACATGTGCTAGCTCTCCTTATATATATGAAATTCTTCTTAAAATATTTAAAGATCAGAGTTTTCAACTACAAAAACATGCTGTGATAAGGACTTAAATGTGAAATAATATGATATTTGGAATTTGTTTTTTAAAACTCTAGCAAAAAAGGGAAGAGGAAGTGGGATAGATAAAAACAAGTATGGGCAAATGTTGATAACTACTCAAAGTGGAGGATGAATACATGGGGAGTCATCATAAAGTTCCCTCTACCTTTGGGTAAGTTTGAAAATTTCCAGCATAAGAAGTTTTTAAAAAATGTTTTATGCTCAAAAATTAAAACCAAAAGAAAAAAAAAGCAATCCTTAAAAGAACAATATTACATTATAGCCCAAAGAATAAATATCCATGAGTCCATACTGACATAAATAACCAAATAAATAAATCATGGGAGAGAAGCAACAGCTCTACCTTACAGAAGAATTCCAATTAATAAATGCAGAAGGAGTGAGGAAAAGAGGAAGGTCACCATTAGAATACCACAGTAATAACTGCTGCAGGCGGGATCCACCATGGATGCTAAATTGGTGGGCGAAAGTTTGAGAAGAAACAAGATAGTCTCAAAGTGGCTCCTGGCGAGGTATGCATTATTTACAAAGGGAGAGACAGTAACTGCAGCGGAGAAACCCATCAGACAGCACGTCGACCAAGTGGTCAAGATTAATATCACCAAGGGGCCAACCCGGTGGCATATCAGTTAAGTTCCCACGCTCCGCTTCGGTGGACCAGGATTCACAGGTTCGAATCCTGGGCGCGCACTGATGCACCGCTCATCAAGCCATGCTGTGGCGGCGTCCCGTGTACGAAATAGAGGAAGACGGGCACAGATGTTAGCTCAGAGCCAATCTTCCTCGCACAAAAAAAAAGATTAATATCACCAACAGAAATATCAAAAATTAAAACCAAAAGAAAAAAGTAATGCTTAACAGTATTAGATTACAACTGAAACAAATGAATTTTATATTAAATTGGTGCTATATCCACAGAGAGAAAAAAAGTATTTCAAGTGACCTTTTTTTACACTATATGTCCTTAGTGAAATATATTCTAAGAACAAATAGAACTGCAAGAAAATAAAACATTATTTAATAAAAGTCATATGTTGAAAAATTTATGTATATTAATGTAAGGAAACAAGATTTTCAGTTTAAGAGAAAAATACAAATATAAAATCAAAGAGGTAAAAATCCTGTAATATATTTGAATCAGACACTTATAAATTACCAAAAGAAAAGTAGTAACTCCACAGTGGAGAAAAAGATTTGATATAAGACAAGATTGTATCAATGTTCAATTTCCTGAACTCGCTGTGTCATGTGCTGTGGTTATGTAAAAGAATCTTTGTTTTTAGGAAATATACACTGAAGTATTAAGTGGTAAAGGCCAGGATATATACAACTTACTTTCAAATGGTTCAGGGGAAAAATATATATATCTATATATCTACAAAAAGAAAGAGACTGATAAAGGAAATGTGAAAAAAATGTTAATTGGTGGATCTGGGTAAAGTGGTATAGGAGGTTTTTGTCTCTTCTAACACCTTTTAATAAGTTTGAAATAAAATAAAATGTTGAAAAAATAAGAATGAGAAATATTAGCATAAATTCAAGGTTTCCCCCCCAAATTATGTATTTCCTAATTCTGTCTCC